AGTTTGTTACATGGCCCAATTGATTATATTCCGCCAAATGTTTATGACCTCATAGACGAAGAATCGATCTACAACTCGGCAAGTAAAACCAAGGGCTCAGCCGGACCATCTGGAATGGGCGCAGAGCTGTATAAGAGAATCCTGTGCTCTAAGAATTTCAAGACCGAGGGCAAAATATTGAGAGAAGAGCTAGCCGTGTTCACAAGAAATCTGCTACGGAAATCGTACCACCCATCCTTACTTGAATCCTTTACGTCCTGCAGGCTTATCCCGCTTGACAAGAACCCGGGAATCAGACCAATTGGTGTTGGAGAGGTACTAAGGAGAAATAGTGGGTATATGATGATGTATAGGAGTATATGGTGTTGTATAGGGGTATATGGTGTTGTATAGGTGTGTGTGGTGATGTATAGGTATACATCCCTATACATCACCATACACCCCCATACATCACCATACATCCCTATACAACACCATACACCCCTATACATCACCATACATCCCTATACATCACCATACACCCCCATACATAAACATACTTCTCTATACATCACCATATACCCCTATACATCACCATACATCCCTATACATCACCATACATCCCCATACATAACCATACAACTCTATACATCACCATATACCCCTATACATCACCATACATCCCCATACATCACCATACCCTCTATACATCACCATACCCTCTATACATCACCATATCCCCCTATACAACACCATATGCCCCTATACATAACCATACACAACTACACATCACTATACTCCGTATACATCACCATACATCCCTATACATCACCATCAAGAGACTATAAAGGAGACAGAGAGGGCATCCCCCATATACACCCTATTCCATAGGTAATTCGTCTCGAGTTATTTTTAGAATCGCAGATCCCAAGGGGGATTGGACAACAGCCAATCACATAGCGCGAATGTATTCCGCGTGGACGACCCACGCTAGAGCCCCGCGTCCTCCACGAATTGACGCGAAACAAAATGGGGGAAGACGAGGAGAGCGATTTTGCTATTCCTTTTGTCGACGAAAACGACTACAGCGAGATTTCTGCGAAAGCTGTGTCAGCGAAACGGAAATTTAAAAAAAATCGCCCTTCCTCTCTTGTATAGAGCTAACAGTACAGCAGGGAAATCCTTAACACACTAAATATTCTCTCAGGATCATTTATAATTTACAGTTTGAAGAGAGCAATTTCTGGTTTGATATTTATTCCTTTATTAGTCTTTTATTATTCAACAA